AAAAAAAAAAAAAAAGTGGCTAAGCAAACAATGGACATGCATGCAAAACTAGGAAATAACACACTGGAATCATTTTAAAAAGTTAGAAATGAGAACAAAATGAATGAAGAAAATATTCACTCTGCCCATGCATCTGCCCAGGTCAGAAATTTTTCTTATCCTGTCAAACTGCTTTGTTTCCAACGGTACAGTTGTAATCTAAGTTGATGAGCTAAAACACAGTTTAGTGATTTGATCTTCCCCTTGATCCAAAAGAGGTATCTTGCAAGTGGGAATCTGCCATCAGCTATCTTTCTAGACTGCTCCTTTGTATTGCTGACAACCTCATCCCAACTTGTTATTGTTGTTCCTATTGAAGCAACAAAATTTTTCTTTTCTAATACTCCTGATAAGAACTCAGGAAATTGTTTTGAACTCTTTCCTATTTTGGCAGCTCTGACATTTTATGACATTTTTCTCCACCCCTATTCCCTAAACCTTTGACCACTCCTCCCTCTTGTTTTTTTTTTGTTTTTTTTTAATAATCCTTTTTTGATTTCTTTTCTGTTTTTCTCCTCCAGTGATCATCTCCACACTGTTTTTCTCTCTGTATTCTGTCTCGGGCACTTCATCCAATTTTTACATTTTCTAATCATCCCTATATGGAAGATGGACAATAATATCTATTTATTCCTATATTCCTGACCCTTCCTCAAGCTTTGCACTCATATTTCCAACGCCCCACTGAACATGATCAGTGGGAGATGCTACCCTATACTAACATATAATGTATCTGAACAAAAATTTACTCCAGTGAGTTCTCCTTTCCTTCCCTGTACCTGTTAATATATAATCAATCTTTCTCTCATCAAGGATTGAAGCTTTGAAGCTATCTTTTTCTTTTTAATTTCCTTCTACTTCTCTCCCCTAACCTCCAAATCCACTAGTAATCAAGGCATGCTAATAATTCATTCAAAATTGCTTCTCACATCTGGCCCTTTCATTACATTCATACCATTACCAGAGTCCATGTCCTTATTACTTCACATCTGGATTCAGATTAAGATGTAGGGATCATGTAGTAAGCAACTGATAGGTGCCAGATACTGCTAGCTGCTTTCATAAACATTGAATCCTTCCTTAAATTCTCTCTCTTCCAGACTATCCTCTACCCAACTTTCAGATTAATATTCATAAAATGTTAACTTAGTCATCTTTTCTTTCTCCTGGCAATAGCCCTGCAGTGGCTCATTCAACGGCAAACAACTATGTTTCTTCACTTCTTTTTAACATTAACTCTACTCCACTGAAGTTACATCTTTGTTAAATGCTGTATATACTGTGGTATATTGAAAAAGAGGCCATAGACTTTCCCCATCCTAACATGAATACTGCTTTGCAAAGTGAATTTGTAATTCCTTCAGTCAAAATGTGTCATCTATTTCTCCAGTTTGTCTTGTGACTAGACTTGACCAATGGGACAACAGCAAACATGACTCAAGCAGAGACTTGAAAAGTGGTTTTGCATTAGGGCTTGTCCACTCTTGTTGCAGTGGGAACCTTGAGCTCACCATGTTAAATGAGACTGAGCTAGCATGATGGAGGAAAACTTTGGCTGACAGTGTAAAATCAATGGACATGGGAATGAGGCCATCCGGAATTACAGCCATCAAACAACTCACTAGCTGCCCATGTATGCACGAAAAACTCTGTGGAAATCAGCAGTCAGCCTGGACTAGAACAATCACCTGCCATCCAAAGAATCATGAACTAAATAAATTAGTTGTTTTAAACCACTTAAAAAAAAAAAAAAAGAAAGTCCCTGCTTTCATGGGGCTTATATTCTCATTGAAAGTGTGGCAGCATGGAAGGAGGGAAGAATAGAAAAACAAAAAAAATAAGAAGGAAACCATCAATGCAAACTATATTCAGCTATATATAAAAAGATCAGGGGTGCCTGGGTGGCTCAGCTAGTTAAGTGTCAAACTTCAGCTCAGATCATGATCTCACAGTTTGTGAATTCAAGTACCACATCAGGCTCACGGCAGTCAGCACAAAGCCTGCTTTGGATCCTCTGTCCCAGCCCTACCCACCCCTGCTCACGCACTCTCTCAAAAATGAATAAACATTTAACAAAAAAAAGATCATATACCATGATCAGGTGGGATTTATTCTAAAGATGCAAAGATGATTCAATATCTGCAAAACCAATCAACACCACAGTAACAAAATAAAGGATAAAAACCACGTGATTATCTTAATGCATGCAGAAAAATTATTTGATAAAATTCAACATCCATTTATGATAAAAACTCTCAACAAAGTAGGTACAGAGGAAACATACCTCACCATAATAAAGGCCCTATATGACAAATCCACAACTAACATCATAGTCAATAGTAAAAAAAGGAAAGCTCTTCCTCTAAGACAAGGATGCTCGCTCTTATCACTTTTATTCAACGTAGTTTTGGAAGCCCTAGTCATAGCAAGAAAAAGAAATAAAAGGCAACCAAATTTGAAAAAAACTAAAACTGTCACCATTTCAGATGGATGACTGTAT